GGATCTGTAATGATAGCTCCTCTTTCATTCTTGATATTGGTAATTTGTATCTTCGCTTTTTGTTTTTCTTGCCAGTCTTGCTAGAGTTACATCATATCAATGATCATTTGAAAGAGCCATCTTTTAAAATTGTTTCTTATCTGTTGTTTTACTCTTTTCCATTTCATTGATTTCTGCTTTTATGTTTATTATATCTATCAGTCTTTTTGCTTTGGGTTTATTTTGCTCTTTTCATGGTTTCTAAAAGTAGAAGCTTAAGTTACTGATTTGACATATTTCTTCTTTTCTAAAGCATTAAATAGTATCAATTTCCTCTAAGTATTTAACTGTATCCTACAAATTTTGATATAGTTTCATTTTCATTTAATTCAAAATATCTTTAGATTTCCCTTGAGACTTCGCTTTTACCCATGGATTGTTTAGAAATGTGCTATTTAATTTCTAAGTATTTGGGAATTTTCCAATTTTCTTTCTATTCATTTCTAGTTGAAATCCATTATGTTTAGGGAACATAGTTTGATTTCAGTTTTTTTAAGTTTGTTAAGGTTTCTTTTATGACCCAGGATATCTTGGTAACTGTTCCATGCTCACTTGAGTTGTTGGGTAGAGTGTTTTATAAATATACATTAGATTCAGTTAGTTATTCAGCTTTTTTCTATTCTTGTTGATTTTTTGGTCTACTTTTTCTACAGACTAAAGAGAGAGGAGTATTGAAGTATTCAACTACAATTGTGGATTTGTCCATTTCTCCTTTCAATTCTATCAGTTTTTGCATCGTGAATTTGGGGCTGTAATGTTAGGTGCACACACAATTAGGATTCTTATGTTCTTTCACTATTATGTAGTGCCCCTTTGCATCCCTGAATAATTTTCTTTGCTCTGAAGTCTGCAGTTTCATATATTAATAACCACTCCAGCTTTCTTTTAATTAGTGTTTGCATAATACATCTTTTTCTAACTGTATCATTATATTTGAAGTAGGTTTCTTATATACAGCTTTGGGCTGTTTATCCATTCTCATAATCTCTGTATTTTAATTGGTATGTTCATATCGTTTACATTTAACATGTATCAATGCATTTTGATTTAGGCCCACCATTTTCTTATTTGTTTTCTGTTGTTTCTTCTGTTTTTATTCTTCTCTTTCCCATTTTAAACCTTCTTTTGGATTATTTAAAATATATTAAGTTTTTGAGCATATCTCTTCATATAGTTTACTTAAAAAACATTTAAATAATTTTAGTGATTGCTTTAGAGATTATAGTAACTTTTCCTTTAAATGTAAGTGAAATGTAAAAATGTTACCAACACCTATTCCTAGTATGTTTCACATCCAAATACATTGAAAACCCCACCGACTATATTTTAACTTTTGCTTTACTATCATACTTGTTTTTAAAAACTTGAGAGATATTCATTTCTACTGTTTTTCTAAATAGTTACCTAGATATTTACCATTTGTTTTTCTGTTCCTTCATGTCTGAAGTTCCACATTTCCCTCTTGTATACTTCCCTTTGGTCTGGGGAACTTCCTTTAGCGTTTCTTTTAGAGCAGATATGTTGGCTGTGGATTCAGCTGGTTTTCCTTCATTTGAGAATGTCTTCATTTTACCTTCACTGCTTAAGGATATGTTTAGTGGATATAGAATTCTATCTAGAGGGGAGGGTGTAGCTCAAGTGGTAGAGCACTTGCTTAGCAAGCACGAGGTCCTGGGTTCAATCCCCAGTACCTCCATTAAAAATAAATAAACTTAATTAACCCCCCCTTGTGAAAAAATAATAAAATATTTTAAAAAAGAATTCTATCTAGTATGATAATTTCTTTCATTGTTTTAATGGTATTGCTCTGCGCTCTGGCCTCTATAGCTTTGACTGAGAAATCTGCTGTCCTTTGAATCATTGTTCCCCATGTATGATGTGTATTTTTCTCTGGCTGCTTTCAAGAGTTTTTGTTTGCTTGATTTTTGGTCTTTAGTTATCCTGTTTGGTGTTTGGTGAACTTGTTTAATCTGTATGTTTTATGCCTTTTTCCAAAATTAGAAAGTTTTAAGTTATTATTTCTTCAAATGTTTAAATACCACACTCTCCTATTTTTTTCTAGGACTCTGATGAAAGACCTTTTAGTATTGTCTCAGAGGTCCCTGAGGCTCTGTTAATTGTTTTCCTAGTCTCTCCCCTACCCTCGTTTTCGTATTGGATAATTTTTGTTGATCTGTCTTCAAGTTCACTGAATCTTTCTACTGCCATCTCCATTTTTTTTGAGCCTATCCATTCCATTTTTTTAGTTGGTTTTTATATTTTTCAGTTCTAAAATTTGCATTTGGGTCTTTTCTGTGTTTTCTATTTCTCTGTGAGACTTTCTATTTTGCCATTCATTTCAAGACAGTTCACTCTATGTCTTGGCGTATTGCAGACATTTTTATCACATGGCTTTAAACCATGTTCTTGGATCTTTTTGTAGTTTGAAGTTTCACATTTTGATTTGATCCCCCCAAATCATTTACTTTCTTCTCCATTCTTTGTGAGTTTTGTTGACCCTGTCTTAGGCATCCCCTATACAGTATTTTATTTCATTTAGTACTGACAAAAACCTATGAGATCAATTTTATTAGCTTTATGTTAGAAGTGAAGAAACTGAGGCTCCGAGAGGTAACATATCTACAGCTACTCCATGAGAAGGAGAGTTAGGATTGAACTTAGTGTTGTCTCCAAAGCCCCTGGTCTTTCTGCTTCCCCTTTGAGAACTGAGCTGGAGTAGTGACTTTGTGAGTGGAAGGGGAACATCAGATGCAAGAGTTCTGGCATGGGCAGACACACTGGGTTTTGTGAAGCATCAGCAGCACTCCCTTCACGTTCAAATGGTCTTTAAAAAGGATGCATTCATGTGTTATTATTTTTAACTAATTTTTTGTTAGTAAATTTATATGGTACAACATTCAAAAGGTAGAAAGGTTATGTAGTATACTTCCAGATACACACCATTTATAACAAGCAAGTACTCATAATTCATATCCTCCTACTTTTTAAAATGGTAGCCTGCCACATATAATGTTCTATACTGTAATGCTTTTATTTAACAATGTCTCTTGATAATTTCCTTTGAGTACACAGAGTGACCTCTTACTCTTTTTTGTGGCTCCGTAAGATTCTGTCGAGTGGCCATATCATAATTTACTTACAATCATGGACTAGTTGACTTTCAAAAATGTAACAGGTGAACTAAGACATACATATAGGAACACATTGAAAGCACATGTGAACAGTTCAGTAAATTATCAAAAAAGTGAACATAGCGGTATAACCATCATCCAGGACAAGAAATGGAACTCTATCAGCACCCCAGAAGTCTCCTTCATGGCTCCTCTGTCCACCTTTCCTCCCCAAAGAGGTGGAACCATCACCCTTGACTAGTTTAAAGTTCCCTCCTAGCCTGTGGTTCTCTCATTCTCATTATAACAGTGTTAAGGAAGGGAGTCTTTTTTTTCTTCACAGGCAGAGAATGAAAGCTGTATGAACAGAGAGATGAGTGGTGGTGGAAGGATTTTGAAAAACATTCAGCTATTTTAACATGGTGATATAAAAATACTAGGAAGAAGCTCTAGTGTGTACACTAATGGCTGTTTTTGGAGTTAGGTTAACCTGCTTCAAAAAGCTTGCTGGATGACCCAAACTAACAAATCAGGTATTTCCTCGCGGCAGTGAGGTTCACCTGACACATCATAGTCACTGGAGTCAGGGCGGGATAAGTATCTCAGCTTTTCCACTGTTTGTGTGATATTTGATCATGTGTTTAGTGGGAGTAATACTTTCCCAGAGTTGTTTTAGGGATGGGGATACTGTATGTAAATTACCAAAGCTCAGTTTCAGTTACATAGTAGGGTCTTGGTAAATATCAGTTCTCTTCGTCTGTTTTTTTTCTTTCCAACTTTTAATGTTAACAAATTTCAAACGTAGGAAAAAGTTGCAAAATAGTACAACAAACAACCATGTATTCTTCATGTGGATTCATCCACTCATATTTTGCTGTGTCTGCTTTGTCTCCCTTTTTTCCCTCCCTCCCCACTCATTAGTGATTTAGTTGCAGACATCATGACAGCACCCTTAAGAACTTCAGTGTGTATCTCTTAGGACATTCTCCTACAAAATCATAATACCATCCTAATATAAAATTGTTGTTCAGACTCTCCTACTTATCCCCAAGCGGCTTTAAAAAAAATGAAGATTTTACTTCTGTCTATTTAGAAGAGTTTCCCAGCTATGTTTGCCTTAACACCGTCCCTGAGATTTTTGAAGAGTCCAGGCCTGTTGTTTTGTCTCATGTCCTTCGATTTGGATTTGTCTGATTGACGACTCTTTAGCAGATGCAGGTCAGAAGTTGTAGGCATTTTAACATTTTTAATGAAATTGCTTACTTTCCGTGATTTAGTGCAGGACGCATAAGATGTCGGTTTGTTCCGCCAGCGGTGATAGTAAACATATCCTCTTGATTAAGGTGGTGTCTTCTAGGTTTCTGAATTGTGAAGATACCTTTTCCTTTTGTAAGTGATAAACCATCTGTGCGGTGATACCTTGAGACAATGGGAATACTGTGTTCCCCAGTGCTCTTTGACCAAATGCTTTTAGTGTTGCTGATTCCTGCCTGACTCAGTTATTACTAGACCAGTTGCATAACGGTGATTTTCTCTTCCTGTTGTTCTGCTACATTTATTAACTGGACTTCTTTCGTAAAGGAGAGCTTCCCCTCTTCCTTCCCTTTCCTTTCTTTCTTTACTTATTTACTATCAGTGTGGAGTCATGAATTCTTTCTCCACTCAGTCATTATTCATCCCAGTGCTCAGATTGTCCTTAGTGTAGCTGGTGGGAACCACTTAATTCTGGGTTGGTGCAGTTGGAGCAAAGGTAAGCCCTGACTCCATTTGTAGCCCAGAAGCTATGGGGATTAATGCAGATGTTGGCCCTCAGACCTTACTTTTGATAACCCATCTGTGCTTATTTTCTAGCAAATCACTGAACTGAAGAAAGAAAACTTTAACCTAAAGCTCCGCATCTATTTCCTGGAGGAAAGGATGCAACAGGAACTTGACGGCCCCACCGAACACGTCTACAAAACTGTGAGTGTCCCACTTCTCACTGCCGTCCCTGGTGTCTTTTCTCATAGTCATTCTGAGCAGAAGTTTGATGAGTATTTGTTCGCAGAGTTGGCATGAATAGATGGAGCTGCTTTCATTTCATCTGAATTGATTATGGGGAGCAGACAGATAACAGAATGACCTTAGTAGTAAGCAAAGCGATACAAGATTAATTTTAAGAGAGTCCTTCTCTTTTCTTAAAATCAGACTTCTGATTTGTCATGTCTCAGTTGCCTTTTTCTCATTATTTATAATTTAGACAAAGACAGTGAAATGGTGGAATGTCTTTGGAATTGCATCCTGTTGTTAGCAGCTAACCTGGGTAACTGCAGGCAGGTCACTTCGGCTCCCCGGGCTGGCTTCCAGAGTTGGGTGATAACCCCTCTGTCTAGGGCTTATTTGTGAGGATTAGAATGAGTCGACAGATGCAAAGCCTCAGCGCACAGTCAGTGCTTGGCAGTTACTGTTGTCTTAGCGAGGCTTCTGTTGGCGGCGCGGTTAGAGTTGTCTGGTTTTCTCTTCTGTTTTCCTTGTGTGCTTGCTTATAACTGTCAGGAAGAAAGGCCGTTCCCATCTGAAGTCTTGACCTGGAGGTCTCTGCCTGAGAACAAACCTTGGTTCTGAAAGCTGAGCAGAGCAGTTGGCTTTCATAAAAAGACACAAGTACAAACATTATTTCAGGGCCCATTTCTTGGCTTTCTCCAGTAGATTAGCCCTTGGCTTGGGAATTATTCCATTTGTTTTCTCTTCTGAAGTTTGCACCAGTGGAAACTTGAAGGCGGAAAAAGAACTCTCCTTGAGTTTCAGTGGACGGACTTAAGCGGCCTTTTCTTGAAGAGGGATTGTACTGTGCTTCTGAGCTTTTTCAAGAATCCAAAAGCTCCCTTGTCCCTCAGGGCACAATTGTTTTCGTTGCGGGGGTGGAGAGACAGTGAGGCTCTCCTCTTTGCTGTAAGGAAGTGGCGATGCAATAGAAATTTTACGGAAAAATCAGTAGCCTAGAACATTTTATGTGTGACTGTGATTTGCATGTATCTCAGAACTGATATGGGTGATAGGAAATCAAAACATGTTAATTGTCTACTCTGGGTCACCACTGGCCTGGCCGTGTGTACATTCATCATCTTATTTTAATTCTCAAGACAGTCCTGGACAGTGCAGACGATCCTCATCTTGCAGGAGAGGAAACTGAAGCTCAGGGAAGATCAATAACTTGCTCGGTGTCATATCGCTGCTCTGGGAGGTGGATTTTGAACCCAAGTCTGCCCACCTCATTGTCCTACACTCTTTCAGCTCTTCTTTTCCATTGTTTGGTTAGATGACTTGATCTAACTGCTCTTTTATTTAAATTTTAAGTTTTCAGACAGGTGTACATGATTCAGAATCAGAAAGCCTGAAAGATAGACATTGAAAAGACTTTCTTCCACTCGTGTCTCCTAGCCCCTTAGATCTAACCAACATTATTAATTCCTTACATGTTTTATGTGTATACAAGCTTGCGTGTGAATGTTTATGTGTATAAACTCCCTTTGTACATAAATGTGAGCATGTTCTGTTCCATACCTGGCATTTTTCCTTCACCATATCTTGGGTATCTTTCCTTAGTAGTGATTTAAGAGCCTCTTCATTCTTTTTTATAATGATATTCCATTTTATACTTATAAGGTGTCTTGATTTTTTGGGTTTGGAAATTATGGTCACCATGTACATAAATTTATGACTTGAAGTATTGGGCTTGCAAACTATCATCTGGTGGACGCACTAGCTATGCAGTCTTAAATTTGCTAGGCGGTGGGGGGGGCAGCTGGTTCAGCAGAAAGCAGAACACTTAGATCATATGGTATCAGCTCTTACATAGAAGCTCTCTGCCTTTCGGAGAGCTGGGAAAGCAATCCTCCCTCTGAAGGTGAAGATCAATTTCTTCTGGAAAGATTTCTGCTGCAGAGATAACTTCTTTAGTTCCTCTTGTTTGACGGTGAAGAAGCTAACACGTT